CTGAAAGCCTTTGAACGCTTCCAGGGAAGGGGCATCCACTGCTTCTCTGGGCATTCCAGTGCCTCACCACCTTCCATGTGAAGAACTTCTTCCTAAGATTTAACCTAAATCTCTCGTATTTTAGTTTAAAACCATTTGTCCTTGTCCTGTTGCTGTCTGCCCTTGTAAAAAGTCCCTCTCCCTCTTTCTTATGATCCCTCTTTAAGTACTGGAAGCCCAAAAGAAGTCTCCTTGAAGTCTTGTCTTTCGCAGGATAAACAATCCCAGCTCTTCCAGGCTGTCTTTATAGCAGAGGTGCTCCAGAGGGGCTTACATGGAAAATCTCCATGTAATCAAAGGAGATAAGTAAAATTGACCCTTACCTATCCCCAAGAGTTCTTCAGAGGTAGCTCCTGTCTGGACCACAAGCATCAGTGCCTCACTCAGATTGTCCTCAATCACCTTGTGAAGTCTGGTATCTATTTGCTAAGCCACTGCTAAACCCAAATGGGTGCCTAAGGAAGAGGAGGTGACACAGTTGTTTTTCAAGGGTTTTTCCAGTGTACACCCAGGCAGTACAGGTTTGTGTTTCTCTGTATTGGCAATAATCCTGCTTTATTTGCACACTTCTTCCTCAGCAAAACTGCACCCTTGTTGCTCATGTTGAGGCAAGAGACCTCAAAGTGTCCCTTTTCTAGGTACTCTACTCACTGTTTCTCACTCACTAAGTCTACATAGGAATGTAAACACTGTCAGAGGTCTACCCAGCATGATCTCCTTTTTCAGCATTAATTGAAAAGGACATTTAGACAGAAGCATTAAAGGAAGTCATATTTCCCCAGAAGACTTTCCCAGCCTCAAAAAATTTTCTCTCAGTGATTTCCATTTACTTTGTACCTCACTTAGCTAGGGCTTGGATTTGACTCTTGGAGCTATTTCTCTTTTCCCTAGCTAACTTTGATAACGTTTTAAAATGTTCAAATGACTTCCACCCACACCCCTGACTGAATAATGAAAAAATAAATTCACAGTGTGACTCACAGTGGGGTTTCCCTAAATCAGGTTTCTCACTGCAGAATTACTGTAGAAAAGGGAACTTTGATTGGTAGTTCTGTAATTTTACTGTTGCAAAAATGAAAAGTAGTACTTCATAATTCTAAGAATGTTTAATGTTTGTCACAATGATATTTAATACTGCTTTCTCATTAGCAGGTGGCACTACAAAGTAGTCATAATGCCTGCAGGAAGTACTTTTATGCCCATTCTGTGCTCTTATGTATATCTGAATCTCTTCATGTGTTTCCAATCTATTTTGAAGCAACAAAATGAAAATATTTCTGCAAATGAGACAAGTTATTTTCCTTGAAGGATATAACTTTTAATAGGAAAACCGAAGTGTCAAAGATATAAATCCTGCCACTGTTCCGCAATATTCAGCTGTTTGCCAGATGTTTGCATGAAGTTAGAAAGTTCATTAGGAATTTTACCTTAATAAATACTTAGGGCCAAGCATATTTTAACACTGAGATGAAAAAGCCAAAGGCAACCCTTCAAGTCAGTTATCTCAGAGTTTGCACAAGTTCATGGCTTATCGTCACACAGTGTTAAACATTTCCTTTATAGAATTGCTGTTGGTACTGTTCCAAGTGAATGATCAGTCACTCAGTTTACAAACCAGGGTGCTGTGCTGGGCATTGTTAGGAGTACAGTGCTATAGTTCAAACCTCTCAGAAGTCCAAAGGCCATCGCAATAGGGCTCAGGATGTCAAGTGCTGAATCACTTCTGATTATCCTATTGTAGAAAAGCAATTTAACATGACCAGTCACAGACTGTGGCAGTGCTTGAGTTACACCTCAGTGACTTGCATAGTCTCAGACATGGCATCATCAATGATTTCAGTAAAAGGAGAAGGGAAGGAGTGCCACTTTCCATGCCAAACACCTGTTTCCTGAACACAGAAAAACCAAATCACATTCTTCATCCTTGCAGCTGGGCTGTTGCCTGGGATGGGAACCTGATCTGTTTTGTCCAGGGCATGACTTCCCTGATGGCAGACCAGCTTTGGGATGCCTTGCAGAACCAAACTTACCAACTTGAAGTCCTTTGCCTTGATGGTTATCACACAAGCTGTGCAGATATAAAACTTGTCTTGAAAAAGACAGCAAGAAGAGATCAATGTCTCCACACTGATATACAAAATAAATCTGCATATTCCCTGGGCATCTGAACTATTTGGGACATACTGGAACTCCTATAGGCTAACAATCCCCCAGCTGGATGCATGGCATCAATGCCAAGATATTCCAACAGCTATTGCTTGCAAACCTGCAAGAACAGTTGTCTTGCTGGCAGGGAGCAAACATGAACAGGTCTATTGGAGAGCAGCCGGATGGCAGTTCAGAGGCTACCAGGGAATAATCTGGAAACAAAGTCTGCTCCTTGGCACCTTTTAACTATTTTCTCTGGAATCTCAGTGGCACCTGTGAGATGCATCTTTCTAGTTCTGAGTTGCCTTAAGCACTTCTGAACCCACAAAGTTGCTGTTTCTTCCACCAGGAAAGGGGTTTTTTCCCTCACCATTTCCATAAACCAAACCAAGCATCTCGCTAGGAACAAGTCCCTGGAAACAGCAGTTAAATTAACTCATTTTAATCTTATTCTATTCCGCCAGTACCTACCAGTTACCTTTGGTTTACTTAGGTGGTAAACTTTCTGCTCTTAGTCTGAGTGTTTAAATTAGTACACAATAGCTTTTCAGTTCAGGTCAGTACTGCAGAGCTACCTTTTGTGAAAATACATATGTAATCCTTCCAAGAACAATATCAAATGCCATTTGTCCCTTCCAGGCAGGATGAGTGTGTGAAACCAAGAAAATCAATAAATGGTAAGAAAAAGAACATCCAATCAAAACAGTTGTTTCCTAGGGTAGATAGTATTGGAACTCCCTTGTTGGACTTTCTGGATTGTTTCTGATGGATGCACTATAGAGTCCTTGGCAAAAGAAAACAAAAAAAAACCCAAACCCAAAAAAACCCAATCAACCAACCAAAAAACCCCATTCAGATGTAAGCAAAATGTCCTCAAAGACAAAATTGTGAAAACCAGAACAAGACCATTATAAACAAAACATTGAAGAAAACAATTTTTGTGATCTGAATTCTAGAGTCACATGATAAAACTGTTCCTTGTGAAGAAACTTTAGTCTTCACCTAATTTTCTACACTAACAGGTTGGAAAATTTCTACAGCATGGAAAAATCTGATGTGTTTAGAGGACTGAGAAATCCATATCTGAAATGCTTGGACTGAGTGTACTGCAGACAATATATATACATAACTCAGAGTCTAGGTCTCAAACTGTATTTCAGAAGAGCACGGGATATTGAATATAGGTCAATCACCTTCAGTTCAAAAGCTTGTTTGCACTCAAATAGGCTGTCTTATTAGTGGTACCAGAGATTTTTAAAATAAGAATTGTGAAGCAAAAAAAGATACCAACATCCACTATTAAACCAGCTGAACTATTTAGTAAGACAGACACTATCAGAGTCAGCTAAGCTCTACTTCTGCCACAGATCCAAGACTTCATATTCAATAATTAATATGATCATCTGTGCACACAGAAATAAGGAAGAAAATAGTTCCGACTAATGTGAAATCAAAGTAACCCAAAGAAGAACTAGTTGGATAAGTATGTGAGAGCCACAAAACTACAAAACAATCATGAAAGGTCTAGGACCAGCCGGCTTTTCTCTGAGAATTATAATCTTATCTGAAACAGAATATTTCTAAAAGGAAGTTTAAAAGACCAGAGCTGGAAGACATTATCCCATTTAAAATAACATGATTTCATGCAGTTATCCACAATGGCAGTGCTTTGGAAGGCACAGATACAGTAGAAGGGGATCAGCAGTAGGAACAAATGAAGGAAACTACTCCAATCCAGGACAGTTTATCACACTTAAATTTAGCCTTCTATAATCAGGTGTCCAACCCTGCCTCACCTCAGGCCGGGAGGGATTGCTCTCTGGAGCTCCCATATGTCTCACTCCAATTATGAGCTGTAAGGGTCTAATAAAGCTACCACGATTCCAGATAGAGAGGCAAAAAGCTGGAATGATTCCCTGAACATGTGAACCCTATTTAAGGGTCTGGGGGGCTTCCATGCTAATGAGGAGGCAGGGTTATTCCAAACAGAGGATTCCACAGGAATTATTAACATTTCCAGTAACAGGGGTGACATAATGGGAAAAATGGACTTACATTTCTCAGATCCAGTATTTACATTTTGGGGGAAAAGGATTTGATATTTCCAGTAAGCAAGATTATACTGGGGAAGGGTGCTCAGCTTTTCCTGAAATAAGGATTTACACAGGGAGGGAGAAAACAATGAGATAACTGATAGCATCATGCAAAGTCTTTCTACATCCTGCTGGGGGAGATCAGGACAATCCACATGAAATGAATGTCAATGGATCTTGTCTGGTCTTTTAGATGGTGGTTTTTTCCCAGCCCCCATGGCCCAAGGTTTCCTGTTTAATCCTAGCAGTTCCTTTTCTGTTGGTATCTGCATTTCGGACTGCAACAATGACCAGTAGCTGTGATTAGTCTGCTTGTTTAACTTTGAAATATCTAAAACTGGTTGAAAGTAATCCTAGCTTTAGGAACAGAAATGTTCTTCCTCATGGACTCCTGGAACCGTGGTAGGGCTCTGTGTAGGGTGATGTACAGCATGACAAGTGAAAAGAAGATGGTTGAAATAATAAGCCATAATTTTGTATCAAAAGTAAAAACTGCATTGTTGTTTGGTAAGCTAGCCAGCCTGATGTTAACTACATACATGTATACTCATCAGTATGTTAAATACTGTTCTGTTATTTACAGAAACACAGATCATGCAGGGTCTGAAGTCTACTGACTAATGCTAAAGTACCTGTGCATTTCATATATTTATAAAAGAAAAAGTGTTTCTAGAGCAATAACACTACGTTCTTTCCAACACCATTACAGATTTCATTTCCTTAACATGGAAACCAGAAGTCTGTCTTTAGGAAGCATGTAAATCTCTTCTTATCAATGTCAAATTCAAATAGCTTTCTTCCACAAAAGAAATAAAGGAAATCTATAAAAAAAACCAGACAGCAAACAAAACAGGTGAATTATGATGCTGCAGATGTAAAGATTAGTATGATTTAACAACGTCCAGAAAGAGCTCAAAGTAACCTTTGGATACAGTTATGCTGCCAAGAGGATCTACTCCCAGGTGTAACCTCTGCAAACCATTGTACAGCAGCATGGGAACACCTTCCATGGCAAACCAGCCATTCACACACTGCATAATGTGCTGAGTCCCACAAGATGACAATATAAAAAATGTATCTTGAGTGTTTCTTCAGTTTAAAACATCTGCTGGTACACATCAGCTGTGTTGAAAACACCCAGAAGAGTGCATTTCTAGCCAGCTGTGTGCCAGATACCATGCAGGGAAGGAGATATCCAGCCTGGGGCAGTCACATCCACACTGCCCTCTGGGAGTGAGGTCTACAGCTAAGGACCCCCAGCACCACATGTGAGACTTGTTTTGGAGGAAGATGTTATCAATTGCATGATTTGCCATGAAACAATTAGCATGTATGGGTTTTGATAAGGAACATATGAGGAGCAAGGAGATAACTGGGAAGCTTGACACTTGGCAGTGTGGGTGTATCCTTGAGTCTAGATCAGCATCTCGCTGTCTAAGCAGTATTCACCCTCATGCAGGAGAAGTTAGTGCCAACTGGGACTCAAAGCAGTCCCGTTTTATGGCAGAGGGCCAGGCTGTGATAGCTTTGCTCACAGCAGGTAAACCTTATGTTGTTGAGACATCACTGTCTTGGGTAGTGCTCTTCATGGTGTGATGTGCACATCAACATAAATACAGATGTATCTGTCCCTTAGAGACAGCCTTCCCAGATCTGAAGTTGTCAAAGGGGTAAAGTGAAGCATGGGAGCGTTATGTGACTGTTTCAGGGTTTTACTGGTCATCTTGAGGGCTCTGAACATCATTTAGAAGTGTCTTTCTCCGCCCAGGCTCTCTCAACCCTATGATTGAGCACTTCATACAGATTTTATTAAGAACAGTTACTCACTTTCATGTTGAAAAACAGCATCAATCTTCCCATTAATTTCTGGAAAGGCATCTCTTACGAGTAATGACTTTCTATCCATAGACTGACCTCTTTTATCATAACTGAGAAAAATTATAAACAACCTGGAGTCAATGAAAACTGCAAACAACTCATGATTAAATAATCTCACCTAATTACCTTCTACCTATCAAGAGGTAACTGCATTCATTAAAGATTTTCAGTATCATTTAGGTAGCATCGAGAGAGACACAATTTGCCATAAATAATTATTACTCTAGCAGCTGCACTGGAAGAATTGCTTCTTTTTACTGTACCTCAAGATACATCTAAGAATACTTAATATTGGAACCATTGTCGTAAATCTGCTTAATACTTAATACTTTTTTCTGAGGGACCATGCCTAAAGAAGATATTATAAAAAGATTGCTTTCATGTCATGACTCTGTAAGAAATGTTTATCAGGAAAAAATCTGTGGTTTTTTTTCTGAAGTTATAAGTTATTTTAAGTCATTTTACTTAAGTACAGCAAGTTATTACATCTTTAGTAAAGTCTATTTTATCGATTAATAAGAAGGCTTCTGAAAGCCTTCCTCTTCTGATAACTTTGTCCAGCAAAAGATTTAATGATCAAACATCTCATCTGAAATCATTCAAGCTACCAGAATTTGACTTAAAATGTGGAAGTCTGATTTTCTGCTTAAACTGCAAATATGTGTCTGAATAGTTACTTCAGGTTGATCTCTGTAAGCACAATGACTTGAGCATTGTGGTGACAGGCAGAAGAGAAGTTTTGTTCTTCATCTACAAAAGTTAAGGTTAATTACTACTTTCATTACAGGAGCACCTCCTTTGGCTTTTAGAAATCTATGTTCTGTAAGAAAAACCTGAGCAGTAGGGACTGAATTGGAAAGAGAAAACAATAACCATGCACAGCAGATAATTATTTGCAGTACATAGCATTTATCAGCAACTTTATGAAACTATTGTTAGTAACTGGAAAGGGGTGGGATTCTCCTTACTCCACAGAAACATTTTTATATAAATAGTGAGGTTCTGACTGATTTCCTGAGATGACTTATGGAGCTGTAGAATAGCTTTTTTCCCCAAGGTAGATAAATGAAAATAAATAAATAAATAAAATATTCAATAGTTATATCGGTTAACAGGAAAGCTAAAAGCACAATTTCACCTCCATTTCAAATATTTTTTTCATAGCCAGTTGTGACACTGAAAGAGATTACCAAAAGTGTGTGACTAACGCATCCTAAATCATGGCAGGATATTGATCATATGATTATGTTTGCTTCTGTTTAGGAAAGTAGCACAGGAAATATTACCTCCAAAATTTGTCCACTATGAAGTAATATGTTTTCCCCTCATTTTCATTATAAAAAGCAGCATCAATTTTGGTAAGGTCCTTTGAAAAGCCCACGGTGTAGAGTTTTTTGGGGTATCCAGGAAGCATGGTATCTCCTTTCACAACCCAGAATTCATTCCCTATGAAGAAAAGTTGATGACAACATACTATCAGAATCTTTTTCTGGGAATGACATAATCCCTTCAATGAAAGCTAATCTTTTAATGGAAAAATACAGAGATAAAATAACGGTTACTTGAAAACGTTCTACATATTAGTTCTAGAGTCCAAAAAAAAGCAATAGTTCTCCTCATCACTTTTTGTGAAAACTGAAATTTCAGTCTTCTTTCATATTTATATGGGTTTCCCACAAGTTTGGAAGAAGCATGTGGTATCATTTTTAAATTCAATAGATAATTTCCCAGAAAGAAAAAAAGCCATTACATTTATTTTGTCAGGGAAACTTTTTTGTATGGATATTAAAAAATAAGATACATTTTCTTTATCTTAGATAATATTTTGGTTATCTCTGTGATTGAAACACACCTATTTTTAGACTAAATTCAAGCTGGTTGGATCCTACAGAAAGAGCTTAAGTAGTTTTTAAGCCAGACAAACTCTCAAGGCTAATTGGAAGACAACATGGGAAAATAAAAAGACAACATTTTACCTTTAAAAATGATGGTTTCATCTTCTTCAGAAATTTCATATGCATCATCAACACCAGGTGGCAGCCATGGCCAAAACAAAGATATTAAATTAAAATCAGCTGTTCTGACTGCAGGATGTTTGCGCCAAATTTGTCTTACATAAATATAGAACAGGTTTTAAATAAAATTAGGTGTTCACACACACTAATGCATGAAACCACATCATGGCAATCAGGGTAGGATTTATCTAACTAAACCCAACCATGTACCCTGAGCAGTCACATTAGGTTCCCCTAATCTTAATGTAAAAAAAGTTAATTCCATGGTGGGATTGCTCTCATCTTGATCCAGACATCTAAAATAGGTCAGAGGAACTGTTTGGTCAGAACATTTTTTTCCCTTATGCAGAAATGGAGCTTAGAGAGACCTGGAGTCACATGGCTGGTATGGGGTAAGACTTTGGGAATGAAGCCCACTCTGGGATTATCAGCACCAGTTTAGAGAAACAGTGTGTGTGAGGCTCTTCTGCAAAATAACACTTTACTGGCCTTGTGGACTCCAAACTCTGAGGTCAGAACTTGCTTCAATGTTGATTTTTAGGGATGGTCTGAAGCAGGGGAAGCACAACCCTATCTCATGAAAAGAAGGGGAAATCATCTCCTTTACCCTTCTACTTCAGACCTTGGGATGTCATGCCCTGGAAAGGGACACTTTGTCTGAGTTTAGCACTGAATCTATCATCCTTTCCTTTTATTATTTTACAAAATCACTAGTACAGAGGTTCTTCAAGTAGGTATTGTGTCAAGACTGGTAAACCCTCAGCTCTCTCAAAGGAAGGACAGCAATGAAGGTGTCAAGTGTCCCAGAGCTGGAATTGTGTTTTGCCAAAGCTGAATTCTCCCAGATGCCAAACACTTGGGACTTGCTTACAGCCTAAAGTGAAAACAGTCTGTTTGCAGAGGAGCCATCTTTCTCCACCCTTTTCACAGCATGTCCTGTTCCACAGGTCATCTTCCTCCTTATCCTTTTCTCTCTTCATTTTTCCAGCAGCCTCTTTGTGTTTGCTTTCCATCTCTTCTCCTGATTCCCTGTCTTGCCTTCCTGTCTAGAATGGCTGATATTCTGGTTAAAGTTATTTTCCCATGCTGTGGGGCATAATTTAAAAAATGATACCCAGCTATTTTACTACTAGAAGCTGACTTGCTTGTCTTTAAAAAACATTATTTCTCCATGGAAAGTGATGACAGCATCAAAAGTTAAATTGGGGCCACAGGTGTTTGGCAGTGCAGGATCTTTTGGCTCAGTTGTGTCTTTTATCTCAGTAGATTCCCTTTGATCATCATATGTGTTAGAAGATGGTCCTAAAAGAAGCAGTTTATGGAAGAAATTATAGAGAGAACTCACTGAGGTATACCCAGTACACAAAAATGTCACTGTAAGGTATTCTAAAGTCTTTGAAATTATAATTGCTAGTTAGTCAATAACTGTGAGTTACCATAGAGGTACTGAATGCCAGTAATATCATCCTAACGAAGAGGGAGTACTGAAGGGTCAAATTTCCTGTAAACTGGATGCATCAAAGCATTGGGGTCTTTGGAGTGGAAGAGTCCCAGTGAATGCCCAAACTCATGGGCAGCAACATAAAACAGGTTCGTACCTGAAAACAACAAACAAAACATATAATAGGAGAGCTGCGTGTTTTCATTTCTTCTGAATAACATTGAAGGGCATAAGGTAGTTCAGAAGCTTGCAGAACTGCTTGTCTAAGCAAGTGAAGTTCTCGTGGGAAATTCAGTTAGAGATAAAATCCTGGTCAGAAAGAAAAATAATGAAATCATTATAACAGAGTACAAAGAAATAGCCTGTAGATCCTGTAGAAGTCAGCGTGGGAGAAGGACCCTAGGCTTTGTGCAAGTGATATAACTGTTGGCAAGAAGCAAGCAGGTTGGAGGAGTGGAGAGAAGGGGGCCCCCTCCCAAATAATTCTCCATTCAGTGCAGCCCTTAACCAGAGGGCTCAGTGGCTTTTTATAGCTATGGAAACCACAGAACAATGCTCCCCCAAATCAGTAGCAATTTAAGCACTTCGTAAGGAAGAGACAGACACTGCACCCTTGATTTCAAGTGCAACTTGCTTCAAGAAGGACTTGGAGAACTTAATTTCTTACTCTCTGTACTTTTTGTCCAGGTTTCATCCTCATCGAAGTGAGCATCTCCACCAATGTCCTTGGTGGGTGCATAGGCATGAGCAAGAGATCATCCTGGGCCATCAAAGGGGATGAAGTTATTGTGATCTGAGGAGCAAATTCCATACAGAGCTGATGGGGTGTTCATGCACACACTGGGCAGAGTACGGTAGGTATAGATCCAGTGAACTACAGGCAGCTCCTTACGTTTATTTTCCCTCTCCTCCTCATTTGCCTCTATACCCTCCCCCAAAGATTGTCAAGAATTATGGGCAAGAACTTGAGCAAGAACTGTGTTTTCTGTCTGCTTGTTCAGCCTGACTCTGAACTTCACATGTGCTATTCATGGGAAGAAATCATTAGCATTTCAAGTCAACTGCTCCAGACAAACAGTAAACTGGCAGTAACTCATAACGGTTGCTTGGAGTTTTACCTCTGGCTGCAAAGGAGATCATTATGTCTGCATCACCTCTATCCTTCTTGATGAATTTCAGTGGAGTCACACTGCTCCAAACACTTAATGCTTTCTTGATCGCTGCATTGACATCTGCTGGACGCAGGTCTGGTGTGTAGTTTAATATCCTTCAAAATCTAAGATAGAAAACCAACTGTGTTTTTGCCACTTGTGCTGTGGAGTATGCCATCTTGACATGAAGAATTCCACTGTAATTACCTGTATGTCAGAACTTGTTTTGCCCATTTTGGCTCTCCTGCAAAGGTGGAGAACCCAGCTATGTCAGGGAATCCACAGTGACGTTTCTGTACCAAGTCCAAAGTGCCAGAATCTGGTATTCCAGTCACCTCTAGCTCAAAGAATTCCTGCATTTCTTTCAGTTTTTGGTTCACTGGGCTATTACTTTTCCAAACAAGAGATTCCCCATCTTTCTTAAAGTCATAGTAATTTTCAAGATACTTCTAATGAAAAAAAATAGATAATTTAAGACAGGAAATGGTGTTTGCTTTTGAAGCTCATAAGGTATTATATTAACCCATTTAGTCATGTGTCTCTGCTACTTTTCTTTCTGTTCTATGGCTTTAACAATTGATTTTGTTAAAGCCTGTATGAATATTTTTTCTCTTAATGACAGTTTTTTACATTATATTATTACTTTTGCAGTTAACTCAAAATACATTTAAAATTAGTATTTGTCTAGCATTTTCTGATAAGATGCCCTCCACTTACCCTGTGCCCTAGGGTTACCCAGAGTCCTTTATAAGAGGTAGTTTGGAATATATGACTGAATATAAAATTTCATCAGTATTATCCCATTTCCCCACATTTTTGACAGCAATAATTCATTAAAAACCCTAACTTATTTTATGAAGACCTATGTTTCATAGTACCGCAAGTCACATAAATAACTGTGTTTCCACCTGAACTGCAAAACAAACCTAGACTGACTCAGGAATTTAATTGTTTGTAGAATCAACAAGCAAGTGAATACATCATTGGGTTTAATTGTTCTCTAAAAAAGGATAAAGCAAGATGAGTTGGGGCTAAAGAAGCCTTTGTCATCATGATTACACCACCATTCATTTTCCCCACCACCCACCATTTTGAGAACTATTCCATCATGTTATTTATTCTGCAAGCTCCTCAGCCACTGTTTACTAGTTACAGAGACTGCAATGGATGCTCAACAGTTGCTAAAGATCTTCCCAAAGGTCTGCATTCCTCACCTGGATAAGTTCCATGTCTTCTTCCTTCTTCTGTCTTGTATCTGCAGGAAAAGGACAAGAAAGTGCCACACATAATAACAAGAAAAATGGGAGGTTCTCCATTCTCAGTTCCCCTAACCTGTAGAGAAGTCCTTTTTGTCGTCTGCCACACACCTGCTTCACCTTTATATAGTACTTGTTTGCTGTATAAAGCTTTCCCTGACTCATTGATGCTCACAATTTCTAGTTAGCAACAGAACATGCAAAACAAGGGTTTTTATCATAAAACAGACTGGTACTGTCTTTCAACCGGTTCCACCCTTGTGCAGCTTTTGTAACATGGAAATATGATTAATGAGAAGATAATAGACCTGTAGTTCATTTTAATAAACTTATTAATATTTCCTTTTTTAAAATCTAGTCTTACTCTCCAAAACCTAAAGCATATCTCTTTAATGTTTCCCATTCAAAGTTAGTATTGATTTCAAAAGGGTTGTTGAAGTACCTAAAGGGAAAAACATACACAGAACGTTATAGAACAAGCAGAAAATTTGTATTCTAGGTGTTTGGTGGTGGTAGTGATGGTTGGTTGGTTTTTTGATTATTTGGGGGTGGGGTTGTGTTTTTTGTTTGTTTGTTTGGGTTTTTTGGGGGGTTTTGTTTGTTTTTGTTTTGTTTTGGGTTTTTTTGTTATGTTTTGTCTGCAGTTGTTTGTACAGGAGCATGTACTTTTGGAGGCTATTATACTGTCACCATCTTTCCCTTTGATATAGTTCTGGCAATGCTATAACTCCCTGCTTGATGAAGCAGTGCTTTGTTTATGCAGTTTTTCTTTAATATAGTTCTCACATGGATGAAACTTCCTTTTGTCTGGAGGAAAATGTGGAATTTACAGAAAGAAATGAAAAAAATTCTCCCAGCATATGTAAAAAGTATAAAAATTAAGCCAAGATGTTTTTGTGCTACTTTTATTCAACGGTTTTTCCACTATTCTCAGAGAATTGCACAATGACTTTGTATTTCACAGTCTCCTTTTGTACTTACTATAAGGTTTTATAAAGTGTGGGAACAAGCTGAGCCAGCCTACACCTGCATTCAGTTAACCAGAACCAAAAAAGAGGGTCGACCTTGACTGAGCACTGTGGTCTCAAAGTGGAAAACTGCTTAATGGTCTGCGTGATAGCATGCATGGTTTATACTATGATTGAAAACAATCACAGAATGGTAATGTGTGAACGTGTGAAATCAAAACATCAGGTCAGCAAAATCCTGGGAATTCTAGTTAACTGAATGTCAACACCAGGTGCTGCTACCCGAGGAGGTCAATAAAAGGGGAGCACAGAGAGAGATCTGCGGAGAATCCCAAAAATGGAGTAGTGTGTGTTTCCAGTCCCATTCCTTCATCGTCGATAATAAAGCACTGAAGTTTTCTTAATCAAACTGTCTATTGGCTGTCCTAGTCAGAGGAGAGATTCCTCTGTTCTCTATGTCTGCCACTGGTGGTGAGAACTGCTGATACTCAACAACAGGTCCACTCTAGCATTGAGTCCACTTTTCCACACCCAGTCAAGTCACACCCTCCATGAACTGCCACAAATGAGGAGAAAGCAGTGGTGATGGTGGAGTCCATGGGAATCCTGAAAAGAGATGCTTGCTGCCATTGAAAACAGTTCTATGTATCTGAGATTTCTTTGTAGGGCTGACACAGGATTTAGGGTACCCCCGCAGCACTGCAGGGAAGGTGGGACGTTGCATGTGCAGAGAGATAAACCCCCTTCCACAGAGCTGTGAAAGGAGAGGTTATAGTACACTTGAGGTACTTGCTAAAATTATTTCCTCCTGAAGAGCACTGTGTTGGTACCAGAAGGATCCCCAGAGCACAGGGTGCCTGTGCACAGGGTCCTGTCCCTGCAGACGGGACATCAGGGACTGTAGGTCTGGGCAGCTGAAACAAGAGCAGTCCCTGGCAAGGCCAATGGGACTCTGCAGGGGTTATCTGTTCACTGGGGATGGAACTCTTACCCTAAGAGCAGATAGCTAGGTGAAGCATTCCCCTTAGGGCAGAGACCCTCTCCCTAGCCCTGGAAGGAGGTGGACAGGCTCAGGAAAGGGCCCAAAAATGGGGCAGCTGAGCCGAGGTGAAGCGATCCCCTGAGGGAGGTTTGATGACTCCCCTCACATAGTTATGTGAGGTGTCTCTGAGTGGGTGCGAGGAATCTAAATATTGGGTGTAGAGTTCTCCTGTGCAGCTTACACACCCACAATACCTCTTTGCAGAAATAGCTTCTGGGACTTACAGCCCCGCTATAGACTTCCAGCATTTTTTCTCTTCCCATATTATCTCCATATATACTAGAAGAAAGAATAAGCTTTTCAGCTGGCAGTACTTGATAAAGTTTCCTCACTTATCTTTTTCACTAATGAGAGGACCTTCAGAAGCCATCAAAACCATATAGGAAGCTGTTGATGAAATGTATACGGTTTTCTGATTATTGGCCTTCTCAAACACATACTTTTGCTACTCTGTCAACTTCTTTCTCATTTTACTTGATACTATTCACCATTGTCCTCAAGAGATCAATAACCTAGAATATGCTTTATGAAGAAAACTATATAACCACAAAGATCTTTGATGTTGTCCTTTGAGATGGCTTTATTAATAACTAGTACAATATATAATGACAATCTATTGGCTTGGGTTAAAGAAATCAGTGTGAAAATTGTTATGTTCTCCACTTTTCAACCTGTAAAAGTGCCTTGGTGAGCTTCTAAGATTACCCTTTTCTCCCCCTCTTCTGGAGTCAATCTTTTTCCTTGGATGTTTTCCCATAGCCCCAGTCCCTCTTGGCTGTACCCAAGAAAGACATGTAACACTGGCAAGAAGTGTTAGAAGTTGCTCATTTTTTGGCAAGGTTATTGCTAGTGTACAGTTTATATATTTTAGAACTAATGCATACAGTAGTACAGAGAAAAGCAAAAGAACATCTCATAGAGCCTCAACAGGACATAATTAAGTTGAATTGTTCTGCAAAGTCAAAAGCTTAACTATGTAGAGCTTGAAACTGCCCCACACTCTGCTGCCTTATGTACCCTCAGTGTCCTGGCCAGGCTGGACTCTGGTAATCCCCAGTCAAAACCTGGGAGAGCAGTTCTGTGCACAGGAAGCTTCTGAACTGCAAATCTTTGCTGCCATGAGTATTGCTTAACTCAGTGCCTTTGGCACCTCATTCCTGGCGATGCTGCAAACTCTCAGGCCTGGCAGCACAAACCTAGCCTCAGAAATATGTATTGCTGACAAAGATGAGTGTGTGACCTACTTCTGGCTTTTATATAAGAGTCTTCAGCATGGTAATGCTGATTCACTGATGGGGCCCCCCTAGTTCCAGTCAGCTTGTACACAGGTCACTATTGCTCTTTGTTGGTGAAGTCATTAAGGCATTTTTGCCTGAGATTTCGTGTGCAAGAGATTGGGTCTGGGACAACAGTTGTGCCGTCAATAATTTCAGATGTAACGGGTTATTTTGCGTGCCTCTTTTTTTTGTGTGCCTGGCCTCAGGCTTCAGGGAAAGTTCATATTCACAGAGGATAAGTACTTGAAATTACATTTATGGACAAATTTCCCCTTCTGGTACCCAAGAGGCCTTTAATTCCAGGAATCATTTATGAGTTATAAGAAAATCATGGTTACAAGAAATCTCTTGCCCACTAAGTATAGCCAGGCAGCTCCAGCATTCCTGTTTCCAATCTCATTTGAATTATGTTTTTCATTTGCCAGGAATTCCATTGCTTTTCCCAAACCAAAAGTAACGTTCTTTCATTTCAAAGTTTAAGACATTAAGAAAACAGAAATACAGATGGAAATTCCATGGTTAACATTTGTCACCAGTCCTCTTGTCCTGGTGAAATCCATGCCATATTGTCTTCTATTTATCCTCCAGGCTACACTTTCTAGATTTTCCTTTGCATCCAAGTAAATATCACTCATTTTTCAGATACTGGGAGTTTAATCTAATTAATACCCAGAGGTCGAAAGAGTATTTTAATTTTGCTGTTTACTTGAGGTCATAACTAAAAAACTATACCAACCATATATAAAAAAATATGTTAATATAATGTGAGTCATTGTAAACATCAACAGTATTCTGCTTCACCATTGCTGAGATGCTCTTTTTTGTTCTTCCTTAACCACTTTGGAGTCTCAGTAAACAACCAGATCCTAAAGGCCTGATTTCTGAAGGTAGCCCTCACATATAAGAAGGCATCTATGTAGGATATCAAAGCATGTAGGCATTTTTAGAAACAAAGGGGATTAATCCCATTATTTATGTACAAACAGTACTCACAAGCACCCTGCCTAACCCTGGAGTCATCTAAGGTCCTTGAACTGAAGTTTCTTCAGGATATGCTGTGTACACAATAGCACAAGCTATTGAGAAAGACACTGGGAGATGTTGGGGCAACACAGTTTTCCTGTGTTTCTGCCCTGCCTGGACTGCTGCCAGGTAAACTCACTCACTTGTCAGTCCATGACTTCACAGTGATGCACCACTGCCCTTGTGGCAATGCTGAGGTGTTCAGTGCCTACTTGACTTTTAAGCCACTTCTAACCTATGTTCATTTTATACCTTGCTTTTAGAGGTGCTCAGAGTGAATCTAGCATGCATGAGGAGGAGAACAGAGAAGAGATGTTCCAAGATTATAGAATCATAGAATAATTTGTGTTGGAAAGAACTTAAAGATCATCTAGTTCCAAACCCCCTGCCTTTGGCTGGGACTCCTTCCACTAGGACAGGTTTCTCAAAGCCCCATTCAAAGGCATCTCTGCTACTCTTCTTTGGTCTTGTCTGCTAGCACAGTGGGACAGTGGGTCTGTGGGTACACTGGGAGACACATGGCTTCCTCTGGCCCGGATGGATGGTGCAGCAGGTGTTAGTATGTGTTTTGACAAGATCTCTCAGGGATCTATGCTGTGCGGAAAACCAGGAGCAAATCCTGCGTGGAAAACCTGGAGCAAACCCCTAACAGGGTTTGAGGTGTGTTAACTGGAATACTGTCCTTAGCAGCCATCCCCATCCTCTCTTTCTACCTTTGCCAATGCTGCTAGAGAAAGAGGAATAGTGAGT